CCTGAAATATTAACTCTAATTTTTCTCTCCACAGATGGTGCCAGGTTTGCTGAGTCTCTCAGCACTTGCAGTTTTTATTTCAGATATCCAGCACCTGTAGTTCTTTGTTTTACATCAAAGTAGCAAACCTTCTTTGACCTGACTCCAATGTATTTACATACTTCATCAAATACAGAGACCAAAATCTCACACAGGATGTCAGATGTGTTCTCACTAATGTCTTGTACAACTGAAGCTTGACATCATTATTCTTCTGTACAATTCATTGCAAAATGCAGGATAGCATTCCATTAGCCTCCTTGATATATGCTGTACGTACATGCTAAAGTTTTGTGAACAGAAGCATCAGAACACCTAAATCCCTCTGCACCTGGAAATTCTGCTGTTTTATTCTTCCCATGAAAGTGAACAAATTCACATTATCTAATATTATAGTCCATTTGCCATTTTTTTACCCACTCATTCAACCTATCTCTATCTGCCTGCAACACCCTCACATTTTCTCCACAACATAGCTTTCTCCCTGGCTCGGTGTTGTCTGTGAATTTAGTTACCACGACTGCATTCCCCTCCTCTAAGCCATTGACGTAAACTGTGAATGTTGAGTCCCCAGCACACACCCCTGCTGGATACCAATCATCATCTCCTGCCAATATTGCAAAAACTCATTTATACGTACTTTGTTTTCTATCAGCTAACCAATCTCCTATCCAGTCCAATATGTTACCCTGTACAACATGAGCTTTTATTTTGATGCAGCATCTTATCAAATGCCTTCTGGAAATAGAAATGCAATAATCTACAGGCTCCCTTTTATTATCCACAGTGCATGTTACTATTTCAAATAACTCCTGTAAATTGGTTAAACATGATTTCCCTTTGCCAAAACCATGCTGACTTGTCCTGTTCACATTAAGTTTGTTTAAGTATTCAGCCATAACCTCTTCAGTATTCAATTCTAAAACATTCCCCATGACAAATGGCAATAAAATGCCTATAATTTCCTGTTTATTGCCTTCTTCCGTCCTTGAATAAGGGGATTAAGTTTGCTACTTTCCAGTCTGATCGAGTCTTTCCAAAATCTAAGAGTGTTTGGAAAACTAACATCAATGCATCTACTAGCTAATTAGCCACATCTTTTAAGACCCTAGGATGTTGTCCATCTGGACCTCAAGTCTTGTCAGCATACAACTCCATTAGTTTACTTGGTAACTCTTCCCTTGTGTTTGTAATTTCATTGAATTCCTCACACCCTTCCACCTCCTGATTCATAGCTGTTACTGCAATGTTTATTATATCTTCCAAGGTGAAGATAGAAGCAAAATATTTGTTCATTTCACCCATCATTTCCTTATTATTTACTACATACTCCTTATTTTCACCAATCTTTAGAGGACAGGGCTCAATTTATTTACTTTTTTCCCCTTTTCAAATAGAAACTCTTGCTATCTGTTTTTACATTCCAGCTTGCTTCCTCTCATACAGTAATTTCTTCTTCCCAAATAACCTTTCAGTCATTCCCTGCTGTTCTTAATATTCTGACCAATCATTTTATCTGTCACTCATACTTCTGCATTCATATGCATTTTCCATAAGTTTTATGTTATGCTAACTTATTCAGTTAACCATTGACAGTGGGTCCTCCCATTAGACTGTTTGGTTGGAATATATTTATTCTGAATATTCTGTAATATCCCCATAAATGTCTACCACCATGTCTCTATTGATCTGTCCCCTAGCCCAGAGTGCTAGTCAACTTCAACTAGCTCAGTTTCCATGCTTGCATTGTTGCTTTTATTCAGGTTTAAAATATATGAGTCTTTCATTCTAACTGAATGTAAAATTCAATCTTATTGTGGTTCCTGCTACCTAGGGGTGTGTTTACCCTGAGGTCATTAATTAATCGTGTCACACTATGCAATGTTAAACATAACAATAACCTGCTATCTGGTCGATTCCAGAATGTCAATTGTTTTAAGTGTCCCCCAGGAATTTATCCTTGTCTATGTTTTAGTCCTCATCTAATTGTTTTCCCAAAACAACTTCATCCAAAGGCAGTGTTAATTTTCACATGTGTGCTGCTGAAATCCAGCTCTGCCACCTCTCTCTAGTCCCTGCATTGTTGCTATATTATAAGACTGCTTTACATTAGCTATAATGAGCAGATGAATGAGCAGAGCGTTTCTTCTAATAAAAACTGGGAAGACTAAAGTTGTTTTTAATCCCCTCTCCAAACTTAATATCCTAACTACTGACTCTGTCCCTTTCCCTGGTAATGATAGCAACAGTCTGAGATTAAGCCAACATGTTCACAATGTTAGCATCAGATTTGATCCTGATATGAGATTCCACCTTATTATGCCAATTTGAAGATTATCTTTTCCCACCACTGTAAAATCACCCAACTTCATCCATGTCAGTTCATCCGCTGCTGGAGCCCTCAGTTGTGTTATGTCTGGATTTGATCATCTTAATGTACCCTTGGCTGATCTTCCAAGGTTCCTTTCCCTATTACCTCTGTGCTCACTGTACCACATTGGCATCCAGTCAAACAACATCTCATTCTGATGAAGGGTCTAGGCCCGAAATGTCAGCTTTCCTGCTCCTATGATGCTGCTTGGCCTGCTGTGTTCATCCAGCTCTACACCTTGTTATTTTCATTTTAACATGTTCACCCTTAGTTTCATATTCCTCCATGTTCTCACTCTTCCCTGTTGCTTCAATGGTCCCTAGTCCAAGAATCCACCAAGATATCTGCATTCTTTTATATCTCACCTTTTGTATACCCCTTCTTTAATTGTCCCATCATAAGTGGCTGTGCTTTTCTCTATCTAATCCCTAAATTTCGAATACCCACCCTTCACCTCTCCACCTTACAAGAGGCAAGGTGCTTCTTAAAAGTAACTTCTTTCACTAAGCATCTCTTTATGTGACTTGGTGTCACGTTTTGTTTTTTTTACAAAGCTCCGTGAATTGCACTGAGTATTTCTATTGTGTTGAAAAGCTATACAAATTGCTGTGAAGTTGGTTTCTAAGCCAAATTTTATATTTTAGGAGACAATCCAGTCCTTGGGAAAAAGAAATCAAAAGCAGCATACAGAGTTTGAAGAGTTGTTTTATTTTGATGTCTACATTCTTTGGAAACTTTTCGTTTAAACTTGTAACTCGGTGACTTCTCCTGCTCCGGAGTTTGCAGTCTGTGATGACTTAACTAAATATTGCTTCGCGTTTATTCAAAACCACCTTTCGCGAATAAGCCACCTCACCATGTACAGTGTGTGTCATTTCTAGAGCATTTCGGTGAACACGATCCTTCTGAAAGTCATTTTTGGTTTCTTTCATGAACCGTTCTCCAAAAGGAGGTGTAATTTTTTAAAGGAGATAATGGATTCAGAGTCGATACAGTGCGGAGCTGGAGGAACACAGCAGGTCAGGCAGCGTCAGAGGAGCAGAAAAGTCGATGTTTCGGGTTGGGACCCCTCATCTGACTTCGACTTTCCCGCTTCTCTAACGCTGCCTGATCTGCTGTGTTCCTCCAGCTCCACACTGTATGGACACTTTTTTATCTAAAGGGATGGCATATTTGACTTCATATCAAAATGCGTGCTTAACTGATGTATCTTTTCTTCAACTTCATTGCGAAGTTTTACGATCTGCTTCTAGTGCTGGGTAAAATCCCACTCAGTCCTTGATTCTCAGCTGTTTCACTGTGTAATGGATCTGAAATTAAACTTGCGCTGGCTCGATTCTAACATGATAGTCATTAACATGTGCTTATCCGTATATTGAATGGTAGTCAATACGACAGACCGTTAATCACACAGGTAACTAGAAAAGTAGTCTGTTATTTGTGATCATATTAATATAATTAGGATTCCACAAACTCACAATTAAAACACACATTTACTTGACTGGACGTAGATATTTTCCCAATCGACCTGTTCAGGGATGATGCTATACGCCTCTCTGGAGGATAGTGAGACTTGGAACCAGGATCTCCTCCCTTTATATAGCTCCCGTGAATTGCATTGGGGTTTTCCATTGTTTTAAAAGCTGTATAATTTGTTGAAATGTTGGTTTCTGGTCAAATTTGGTCCTTAGGCTGTACCACAGCGCCACAAAATACACCAATTCTGTTAACTAGCCTATGTACGTTACAATGCATGTCTGGGGCAACGGGTGGGGGACTTTAACGCGGGTCTCCTGTCCTGGGGGTGTTAGGGACACTACACCACAATCTCCGTCCTGTCTGAGAGTGTATATACTTCACTGAAACGGCTGCACTGGACAAGGACACCTGCTAACGGGAACCCGGAGAAGTTTCACTTCACTTCAGCTCAACTGTTCAACAGTGCACTTCATCTCTCCGAACTTTGCTTTTTTTCCCCACAGAGGTAGGAAGCACGGGGACGTGGGACTGGTTGTGCGGATAAGACTGTTAGCTAATATTTCCAAACTAAACTCGAAGAGGGTTGGTTAGTTTGGACGGAAAATGAGAGGTTTAAGACGAAAAAGCCGCGTTTTTAACACCGCCGAAAACTTACTCCAATTCATAGTGACTTTAAGAAATTAGTGCACGTAAACATGCGGCTAGATCAGGCTAAATGTTTGAAGATAAAGAGGAGTTAGTTAATGAACAGTAATATCAGTTTCTTTTACCTGCTCTTGAACGCTGGGATAAGTTAGATTCTGGGCAAGTTTTGTAAATTCAAGGCTTTGGAAAGATTAGTGATTATATATTTCTCTGCATGTGGGATCTAAAACAGTTGGAGAGTATTCCATTCATCTTTTTAATATTCCCGAACAATCCTTTAAGATCAGCAGTGCAGAGCAGTATTGAAACTATTAATCCCTCGAAAGAACAACATCACTTTAAAACGCACGATACGGTGTAGAGAGTTACTTTCAGCAGCCGAAAAGTGAATCTGAACTCTTGGAAACTTTGTTTTCTCCCTCTCTCTCTGAGATAGATGTACTGAGAAGCAAGCTGTACAACTTACCCAACAAAGTCTCGGAAGAAAACGCGGACGAGGATTCGAATTGTTCAGCTCGGGAGCAGTAAAACTAATCGGCTGAATGTTGCACCACTTCTAGGTGAAAGAAGAACCTGTCTCTAGTCTGTACAATCTCCGCTGCCCGATTTAAAGCGCTTTTAGCTCAAAAAAAAGTTTTGAGAGTCATCTGACTCGTGACGTCACGGCTTGCGACGAACTCCTCTGAAAGTTTCTGGGATCCAGCAGCCTCCTGTCCCCTCTACCCCACCGCTCCTTGCACAGTGGGTTCTGGCAGCCCCTGGCTGTTCGGTCGTCTATCTATGCTGCAGCCACGGATCTGTTAGAGATTGTCACTGTTACCAGTACATCTCACAGCCCGAGCATGCAAGCTGCTAAGCATCTTCCTAACATTAATACTGTGATTCAACTGGTGTATATTTGTTAACGCTAACCCCATTCTTATTTCAAACAAATTTCAAACAATGGACTTTTAAAGTCCACGTGGACTGTTTGCTCCTCAAGAGAGTTAAGAACCAGCAATGTTAGTCACAGAGGCCTGATATTAAAGAATACCGTTTACCACCTTTTACTGGTTTAATTTTCAGATCTCCAGCACGTGCCTTTGTTTTACTCCTGCCATAAATGGAGTTTTCTTTGCAAAATAACGTGACTTCAAGAGTAAACTTCCGATGGTCTTTTACCAACGTATCCTATCGAGAATACAAAACTATTTTTAAGAAAATACTCGTTAGTGACGATTAATGTCGACGTGTTGATGTTTGTAGATGTTATTAAGGTTGAGTGGCAATTTGATCAAATATTGTAGCAATCCACTTGTGCTCTGTGACAACAAGGTGCAGGGCTGGATGAACACAGCAGGCCAAGCAGCATCATAGGAGCAGAGAGGCTGACGTTTCGGGCCTAGACCCTTCATCAGAAAAGGGGGAGGGGGATGTAGTTCAATATATGAACTGAATCCTCGAGGATTTGCTATTAACTGTTTGCTGTTGGGAAAATAAATGCAATGGACATTGAATGGGTTTGTTTGTGTTATTCGAGCCAGAACCCCGCTAAAAGGAGCCTGCCTAGAAGCACACAGGAGTTACAATAGAAACGTAGAAAACGAACCAAGTAGTAACTTTTGATTTGATTTCACCAAGTATGATCAAAACTTTTTTTGACTGGCATGTTTTCCATTAGAAATATAGTGTTGCCAAGGATTATCACAAAATAACCTAAACATTTCAATTACACTCTGGAACATTGCCAGCTGATTTGAAGTAATCTTATGTCGTAGAATATTGTTAACATCAAAGACCTAGAAAAATCAACTTAAGCTATTCCCCGTTCGGAAGAAGGATCACTGGGCCCGAAACGTTAACTCTGCTTCCTCTCCACAGACGCTGCCAGACCTGATGAGTTTCTCCAGCACTGTTTTTGTTTGTGTAGGCCATTCCGAGGTACATATCGAAATGCAAAAGTGTCCGCGTGTGGCATTTTAGATTCCCCACTACCCGGCAAATAAACTGGGATGACAAGAAGAAAAAAAAGCAAAATTATCATTTTCCAGGATTTTTTTCAAGGTTGGGGCCGCGATTTATTGAAAGCATGTCAATGATAACGTTCAGTTGCATCTTGTTGTTATACGGATAATCGGAGAGAATTGCCCTGCTCTCTTGGAGCGATGCTCGCGGTAAATGTAATCTGGAAAGTCATTTTTGTAAAGTCGCCATAGCTACCAGAAATAATAAGGTGTAAGGCTGGATGAACACAGCAGGCCAAGCAGCATCATAGGA